CGCTCCTTCCTTGCTCGTGAGCTGCAGCAGCGTGGTCAGTTGCGACTTGCGTACGTGGCCTCTGAGGCCAACACTGCTGATGTGTTCACCAAGGCACTTGCGCCTTGTGACCATCAGCGCTTCTGCACCCAGCTGGGTCTTGTGCCTGTCTTGCCTCACTTGCTCTCCTCTTGACTTCACTTGTACTGTGACATATATATATACCTGCTCTTGCTTGTTCAGCTTTATATATATGTCTGTACTCTTGCTTGTGAACTGGCCTTTGGCCTTGCTCTTGTGCTCGGACTGTGTGGTGACTTTGTGATCCACCCTGAGCTTTGCTTTGTCTTGCTTGACTGGTCTTGTGACCCCTTGTTCTCCCCCACTTTGCCTATGGGGGTGTGTCAGAACATATCTATAGCTTATACTGCTGTGTAGGCTGTAGTGGGGTATCCCATAGGGGGTACAACCCAGTTAGGGTTTCATATTTGTACTCCTTTCATTCATAGTTCATTCATTCCTGCTTACTCTTTTCACAGGGTAGGGCGGCACACAGGGCGCGCCCCGGTCAGGGGCGACTCGATTCAGGGCAGGAAAAAAAAAATCGATTTTTAGTGGTGGGCCCTAGGAAGTTCCCACTAGGTAACCTGCTCTATACCATGTGAGAATTGAGGAATTAAATGACTAAGGAGAATGTGGGTACAAGTAGGAAAACTAGAAATGTTGTACCCTATAGTGTCTACCCCACTACACCCTAGATAGACCATAGCATATAAGTTTGACACGAAATGCTTGCGATCGTGCACGCGTTCAAAGTATGGCGCTGTTACTTGACTGGCGCGGACGTGACAGTACGGACAGACCATAAATCACTACAGTACCTTCGCGCACAGCCACACCTCAACCCACGACAGATTCGCTGGCTCGATTTCCTCGAGTCCAATTTTCACTACACCGTCATTTACAAAAAGGGAGCCTCGAACATCGCCGACGCACTGACCCGCCCCACTGCCGAGATCCACGCAATACTACTCGCCCAGACAAGCCCGCTACTGACAGGCCTATTCACCCACGGGTACCAAACGGATCCATTCTTCACAGGAGGAAATTCGCAGCAGTTCTCAGCAGCAAGGGGAGTCTATTACGTAAAAACCGGGACTCACCGCATTTGGATGCCTGGGTATACACTGCTACGGGAATTACTGTTACAGGAGGCACACGACGGAGTTACCTCGGGGCATTTCGGAGTAAGAAAAAACACGGCAGCAGCTGCAGCGGTATTATTACTGGCCCGAAATGTTGACTGACGTACAACGACACGTGGCATCGTGTCCCACTTGTCAGCTCATGAAATCATCATGTCAGCGGCCGGTGGGACAGTTGCAGCCGATACCACCCCCAGAGCGTGCTTGGCAGCAGGTGACGATGGACTTCGTCACGGGGTTACCGGCCGGGGCGAGTGGGAACGACGCGATCCTGGTCATCGTCGATCGACTGACGAAAATGGCACATTTCGCAGCCTGCAAAAAATCAATCACAGCCGAAGAAACAGCACGCCTCTTCATCTCCACCGTCGTTCGACTGCACGGGATACCAGCCGCGATCATCAACGACCGCGACACGAAATTCACCAGCAACTTCTGGCGGAACCTATGGCAGCAGTTCGGCACGCGACTGCAGTTCAGTTCATCATACCACCCCGAAACCGACAAACAGACAGAACGGACAAATCAGACCATGGAACAGCTCATCAGGGCCACGTGTGACGACCCGACCACGTGGGAACAGCAACTGCTACTAATCGAATTCGTGTACAACAACTCGCCATCCGCCACGACCCAACAATCACCATTTTACCTAAACTACGAACAAGACCCGACAGTACCCATGACCCCGAATCCCGACAACCCAGTACCACGAGCACAACAGTTCGCCGAAATATTACAAGCGGCACGGACCCGGGCAGCAGACGCAATAAAAAAATCGAACATCATCGCTAAACGCAACGCCAACCGCCACCGCAGACCTGTCACTTACCAGCCCGACGACTTGGTTTTACTTGACACTCAGAACCTCCGACTGCCCATCACCCCGAAACTCCGCCCCCGATACTGCGGGCCATTTCGCATAAGCCACATGCTTACACCCGTCACCGCCCACCTCCTCATCCCTGCTGACTGGTACGTCAGCCCCTCATTCCACGTCAGCCTGCTTCGCCCTTACGTCCCGTCCATGAGCCAACTGCCACGCAATCGCCCAGCCAGCATGACAAGACCACCAACTGAACCAATCATCACCCCCGAGAAAATCCTGAGCCACAGAGTTCGCGACCCTCGAGGAGCCCGAAGGATCGAGTTCTTACTTCACTGGAAGGACCGTACACCCACCGAAGACAATTGGGTTCCCCAGGACAGAATCGAAAACCACCCCGTCCTCACCGAGTATCTGCGCAGCCGAAATTTAAGGGATGTACATGCACTTTGGTAAGGAGGACCTCTTTAAGGGGGGGGGGGGTAGTGTAAGGAAAATCCCTTTTCCTTACTTCGCATCCCTACTCAACGCGTACATCACTGTAGCACTACAGTCAGCACCGTTACCACTCGCAACCCTCGCATCGATAATCCGCCCGCCACCTTCGCACGTCGCACCCCGACCTCACGGCTCGGCGGGTAACCCGCGCTCCGGGCCTCCGCTTCGACACTTTTCCCAACCTCAATCCCAAGCCCGTCGCGCGACAACCACAGTCCATTACCGTTACCACTGTAGTTTCGCTATATATTCTTCGCTCATGCCTTCGCTCATTGTACTCTTGCTTCGATAGTGCAATTATTGTTCGTTCACTTAATTGCACTGGTAACACACTGTATGTGTTGTGGGGATAATAGAGTAGAATAACCAGCTGATACCGTATGTCAATTCCGTTTACATGCTACACGTGTAGATCCACAACCCAAACTTATCACCTACTTACAGCGAGTTTTCCGCCGTTGCTTCACTCCATCACCTCCGCCAATCATTCAGCAAGTCTCCGCGCCACCCTCCCCCCGGGAGTCCTCCTGCTCTCCGCAAGGCACCCGTTTCCTCACAGCCTGCCTCTTCCGCCTCGCCGCTGCCTCTCGAACTTCTTTTTCTCCATCCAAAACCTCATTTGAGCCCTTTCTCTTCTTCTCCGTGCATCCCGCCTTACCTACGTACCTCTCCTCGTCTCCTAGCGGTTTACCGGCAAACCCGCCACCATGCAGAACGAGGACGGAGAGTTCGTGGATCTGTACACCCCGAGGAAGTGGTACGTAGTTCGAGATGGTGGAGCTAATAATTTTAACGGACGCTCACATCTGTTTTTTCGTCCGTGGCCCTTGGCGGGCGGCGGTCTACCTTATCGATCTTCTTGCGCAGTCTCGTAGTGCTAATTTTAGTCCTCCCGGCTCTTAGTCCGCATATCTCGTCGCGCTTACCCAGGGACGCGGTTTAGGGTTACCGTTCTTGGTACTAACTCAGTCGCGGGCCTTGGGTGATGTGGCGTTTGCGCTGACACGTGCTTTCTAGATGCCTGATACCGCCTGCTTAGCTGACAACGCCGAATTGCCTGACAGCCATCGCACTTATCAAGGGGGGAATGACAGTTTCTAAAAGGACGTCTCATAGTGTCTTTTTGCAATAATTTCATTTGCGAATACATCCCGATTCGCCGATCGATGCTGTCTCCGTGTGGAGAAGTAATCGCCTCCCCGTCATTCCCCTTCCCTTCTTCACTTTCAGCTCGGCTACCAACCGTCTGATCACGTCCAAGGACCACGCCTCCATTCAGATTAACGTCGGCAACCTCGATGCGAATGGCGTGTACACCGGCCAGTACAACACCTTCGCGCTCTGCGGTTTCGTGCGCGCCCAGGTAAGCGCATGTCAGCTGGCGTCTGGTGTTCGAGCGGCAGGAGCATGAGTTGGGATCTCGAAGTGAGCTTTGCTTGGGGATAGTTAGCTTAACATGCATCAGTTGTTATTGTGTGTTAATTAGCATACCGCGGGGTAACGTCGTGCTGGTTGTGTTTGTATCAAGTTCAGTGCCGTTTTGTTTCTGCGCGTACACGTTTAGTTCGGCCTTTCGACTTCTGCTCACCTCAATCTGACATTGCGATGCCCTGCTTGTTCCTTGCAGGGCGAGGGAGACAGCTCCCTTGATCGGTTGTGGCAAGCTAAGAAGAAGGAGATCAACCAGTAAGGTTTCCAATGGCAGCGTGTCAAGGCTATGAAGCAACAGGGCACATCTGATTCTAATAGCCACTCCATTGTTGGAGTTCGGCATTTTCATTTTACGTAGGTTGTCCTACAGCCCTGCTAGTGCTGCCTGTTGTGTGGTCCTTCGAGCCTTGTTGGATAATAGAATCCTTAATGCACGGTTTGTCATACCGTAACATGTCTGCTTTGTCATCCGGAATTTTCAAGTGCACTGTTAGTCAACCCTGTCTGTGGTTGCTTAGTGTCCAGTAGTTGCAGGTGGCGATGTGTGGGTATTGTCATATGCAAAAAGGGTGTGCTGGTAAAGACCAACCGAATCAACTGTAGATGGTCAGTCAGTAGCATCTTACAGTAGTGTGCAACAGTTGTGAGGAACTCTGCTGTAAAATGAATGTCAAGTCAACTGCAAGAGCTAGACTGCCAACAGCAGTATCCCTCCCTAGTCTAGACAAATCTGCACTCAGCTGGTCAAGCAAGTATACCATGTAGGGTAGAGGTTCAGCTCTATCAGCTTGCCAGTAGATCTGGGGTTTCTGCTTCAACCGCCAGCAAGGTGGAATGAACACGGCTTAGCCACGTGTCAAGACGATCCCGCAAACCAGCCACTTGTTGAAGGTTGAGAACCCGAGGTTGCACCCAAGAAACCCGCACATGCCCATCAACTTGGTCAATGACGCCTTCAATCAAATGCACCTGAAAGCAACACCCACACAAAGCAGTTCCATGAATCCAGCCACCACGAAAAAACGCTGACAAATGCTGTGTATGAGACAAAAACATAAGATTCAAGCACATACAGAAAGGGTCTTCATCAGAAGATGTTCCACGCCATCCAAGGGAAGCTTGGTCTTCTCCGCAATTGTTGTCAGCGGGATGGTACGGTCATCAGACGGCCGGCTGCATGACGAAACAAAGCAGGTTAGTCCACGTCCTACAGAAAAAAACAGCTTTTATGCCTGAAGGAAAACACTTGCCTGAAAATCAGCTCCATTAGGCAAAGGATTGTGATCTTCTCCCTCAAACGTCTCTCATTCTCCACCAGAGCTGGCTGAGCGTTGAGCTGAGCCGCATACAGGGAGCACAACTCATCATACTTGTGCAGGTCACCATGCTCAAACGCGTGAAGAATGTGATACAGCCATTGAAACTGGCTGCCCTCCAAAGCGCCGACCTGCAAACCAACAGAGAACCGTTCACTGAACTCCGGCAGATTGGGATTCGACACCAAAAAATCATGACACGGTGCCTAGAACTTACAATTGGATGCGCCAAAAGCTCGCCAAAGTTGTAGATGTTCTCACCAAGCAACGCCGCCAAAGACAGATCGACAGCCAAATCCTAAACAGAGACCACAAAGGGGTCAATCGACACTCGTCCAAAATATCCAACAACGTCGACTGATAGATGCGTACCAGCTTGAAGGGGTCAGTGAGTGTGTCGACGGACGTGTAGGCCAGGTAAAGCAGCGCACTCTTGTAGAATTCAGCAAAATCCTGCTTCGATTTGTAATACTGCGAGCTAACCCAGTGAACGCTGGCGTGAACTGAGGGGTCAAGATCCGCCATGCTGTCAATGATTGCCCTACCCTCATCCAGAAGGGCCTTGCACTCCTTCCGATCTCCTGATTGCAGCTTCAAAGCAGCGATCTGCATCTTCACATAAACCACTGGCTCCTCTATCCTCTTACTTTTTGTTCCCCGCAGCTTCTCAATTATTCCCTCCAAAAAAGCTATAGCCTCGGTTTTGTCGGCATACTGCCGGGAGATTATCACTGAGAAGTGAGCAAGCTTCAGAAGGTTTATCTTTGTCTCGAAGTCCGAAATAAAGTTCTGATACAGCTGGATCATGATGTCTCCAGCCTACAGAAACATCCCAGTCACACGGGTGGATCTGAGAACATGATTAGCAGAGTCCAAAAAACCGGTAGACAAGTTCAGAAAGTTTAGTTTCCAATCCATACCTGCAGCACGGCAAGTGCCAGAAATTGCTCCAATTTGATTGTCAGCTGATGCCATAGCTTTTTCTGGTACAGATCCCCCATGTCTGCGAACCAGACCGCAAGGTCTGGCCGGGCGGCCTGCTGCGCATCCAAGAACGCCATGGCCGACATCTTCGCGTTGAGGGTTGAAACGCTAAAGACAAGTCTGGTCCAAATCGACAGTATGCCTCAGTAGCGTACTAAGTGACCTAACCTACGCGACGCTGAAGATCTAGTACGAATCACGAATCTTCTGTTCCAAGGTTGATGAGAAAAGCTGAACCTTACTGCATATCGCTGGTGGTGGTGGTGACTCGTATTACGCAATAATGTGTTGAATCAGCTTGATTCGATAGCAATGTGGAGTCCCCTTTGATTGGTCTCTTATATATTAAGGCAAAACCAGCATTTTCGAAATTTGCAATCATTCTTAAATATTACCTCATATATGAGCCTTGAAAACATATTAATTCAGGAATATGTTTGTATTACAAACATAATACCAAACCTAATACTTGGGAGTTATATTGTAATAGAGATTCAAAAGACATAGGCGACAAAATAGAGCTGTATTATTACAAGCACTAGAGATTGCCCACACTGTATGGTGAGTTAATGACAAGGAGAGTTTACTTTGTGGTGGAGATATTTGTTACGCTTGCTGTCACGTGCATCCCAAACAGTGTTTTGCTGCTTGGTGAAACATGCTGGCAAGCAACCAGGCCCCGTCAGACTCACCAGATCTTACGGCTTTTTTAGCCACATCAGCAGAGGCTGTGTGGCTAACGAAGACGTTTTTTCCTTCGCAAAATCTCTTTCAAGCCATCCATTCTGCCTAGCGCAGAATCGACGGCCTGGTGCCTTCCCTGTGAGCACTGTTGGACATTAGCGTGGCAAACGTTCCCACTCTTTCCAAAAGAATGCCTTTTCCGCTGGCGACCCTATCTGCCATGTGGCAAACTTTCCATGGTGTCCCGCGCAGCCTCGTGGGGTGGCGCCCCAAACCAGGCCACAGAACGCGCGGTGCGCGTGTTTGTCGAGCCTGCGAGTTTCGTTTCGTAGTTTTCCCAATCAGTTGAGGATTGTGAATGTGAACCCACTCGCCACAACATGCAGTGCAGAACCATACCACAAGAAGGGGGGGGAACAAGGGATTCAACAAACACAACCCAGGAGAACCCGCACTTGCCCTTGGACCCTCCCGCCCAACCACCATTGCAGGAAAGGGACTCAAAGCAACAGATTGGCAGGTACCTTCTCCTCTTGGTCTGGTTTTGAGTCCGTTCGCCTGATCTATTCCTTCCCGCTCTGGTTGGGAGTTCCTTCCACCTACCTCCCTCCTAAGTTCTCAAGTTCCCAACACTGACGAGGCAGTCAAGACATCCCGTTCTGACTGCTTGGCAGCTTTTCTGGTTGTGGTGTTTTCTGGGTCGCGAAATCTCTTCGTTCAGTTGTCACGGGGTGCCATTCAGCGTCATTGTCGCAGTACGCGTTCCAGCAACCACCTAAATATACTAGAACTTCCACGTAGCGAGGTGTTTCGGGTCAACTTCCTATCTTTGCGGCTCCCCTCCCGCCTGACCATGGCGATGGATCTAACACTGAACCGGGGGGTTGCTGTCCTGCAAGCAGCGCGTTCAGAGACCTCGCTTTTCAGCTCCTTCATTTCCGCCTCTCCTGGAATGCTGAACAAGGTATGCTACCGCACGAGTCCGTTCTGTCCGACAGAAACATGCTACTGCACGAATCAAATCAAGTCATAGCTCCCACAATCTCTATCGGCCTTTTACCCCATCAGTCATCCTATATCCACCCTCCAGTACCTTGCGCAATAGCTGTAGGATTTCTCGTAGCTTCAGCTGACGCACTTGTTCAGCTTCTCTATCTATCCTGCACTACATACACTCATACCTCTCGCTTTCTATCTATGCATATCTCTTTCTTACCTTTGTCGTTTTCTGTGTAGCCATCTATCTCTGACGTGAATCTATCTCGTTCCACGCACACGCATGAGTTATGCTCCACTGTCTAACGGCTTGATCTCATGCGCCTCGCCCTCCATCTTTCACCCCTCGTTCATTCTCTTCTCCTATTCTCTCTACCATTCCGGTTCCCGAACGCCTGCTCTGGTTATCAGTTGTCTGAACTCTTGCGCACGCCGAAGTGGCGCCGTCAGTTTGGTAGTGCCATTAGTTTCGTTCCCTGGTCCTGAAAATGTCTTAAAACTATTCATGGTCACTAAATCTGTGACTGACACGGTGACGCTCGTTCACACAAGCAGTAACCTCTCTTCGTTCGTAGTCGCATGCCTCATACCGTTCCAACAGTCACCCATACCGTTTTCTTTCGCTTCGTTTTTTCGTTTTCCCAAATTTCCTTGCCGTCATGCCAGCCTGCTGCATTTCGCGCCATCGCCCTCGCCAACACACCGCGCGTCAGAATCATCGCGAGAGCCAATCCAGGCCTGGGCTCCGACAACGAATCAGACGGATGCGGCGCAGGGAGCAGCAGCACCGGCAGCAGCGCTGGCCGTGCCTCCAGCCCGCAACGTTCCTCCAGCTTCTCCGGCGGAAGCGGAGGCAAAAGCGGAGGCGGCAGCGGGAACGCAGGCGCGCAGGGCGCGAAGGTGCTTCCTCCCGCTGCTCACGGCAACGTCACCGGAGCGACAGTGGCGCTGGAAAAAGGCGCGCAGGAGGCGGAGGATGTGGACGAGGCGACGCGGAGAATGCAACGGTGCCAGCAGCAGCAGAAGAGGCGCACAGCGGCGAAAGCGGAGGAGGACGTGAGCGTTGAGGCGGGTGGTGACGTGGAGAAATACATTGCGACGTACAACCGATGGGTCCGACTCGGGGGCAGGTGCGTGTCAGTTTCAACTCGCTATGAGGTATGTGTGGTATGGTGTGGTGTGGTGTGGTGTGGGGTGATGTACGTGCTGGTTTCTGTTGTATTTTGACGGGATGTGTTGCGCCTACGAGTGGTGTTTGTGCCTAAAGCGTTGCGGCGTCTGTAACGCCGCTGCGAGTGTAATGGCTAGCGAATCAAACGGTGTTTTGCGAGACTCTACGGTCTGTCTATCTGTGGTGTGGATTTGAGGTTATCAGCGTCGTTGCCAACACAAGCGCTTTTGCGGAACGTCGGGCAAAGACCTTCGAGAGTTCGAAGCCCGAAGGGATCTGTCTGTTGTGTGCGAACGCGGGGAAAGAGAGTAGATATGAGATTACAATTGAGAAGCTGCACACGGGAACCACCATGTGCGACAGACTCGTTGTGGGATATGGCTGCGAAAGGAAGGCATGCACCCCTCTCTGCCCTTCGCCTCTCTTACCCTCTCCTTTTCTCCCCGCCTCTTCCTCCGTTTCCACCGCCCACACTTCCGCCGACGTACACGCCAGGTTGGACAAATGCGTGGGTCTTCTGGAGCAGATGCATCAGCACGCGCTCTTCGACCCCAACCAGGTGAGTGTAACCCAACCCTTACACCGGAATCTCTCTTGCTCCCATGCACCATCCTTACCTCCCTCACACCTCCCTCACACCTCCCTCACACCCCCCTCATACCTCCCTCGCTCCTTCCTCTCTCAAACGCCTCCCTCACATCGAGTCGGCATCCTCTCCTGTTCCGCTCATACTCCCCGCTTTCTCCGCTCCACTTGTTTCCCCCTCCCCCTTTCCCCTTTTCTCCTTCCTTCACCCTCCCTTCCCCCTCTTTCTCCCCCTATCACCCCGCTTCCTACGCGCTTTCCCCCGCCATCACCCCGCCGTCAGATCTACCACAACCTGTTCTTCTCCATGTGCAAGTCGGAGCGCGCCGTGTCCTCCGCGTTCCGCTTCGTGGCGCTGCTGGAGTCGGCGGGCGCGGCGCAGCTGTCCTCGTACAACCAGCTGCTCTCCGTCTGCTCCCACTGCGCCGACGTTGCATGTACGTCCCACCTGTCCCGGCCTTCGCAATCAACACCTCAACGTTAACCTGCCGCGCTTGTAAGATATATTCTCAGCATCCCACATCTCACTCTCTCTTCCCTCCCGCCCCGCGTCCTCTCTTCCCGCCTCCTCTTCCCCCATTCTCCCCCACTCCTCCCACCCCTTCACCACCCGCTCCTTGTCTCCTTGTTTGCCTCTCTGTGTTGTACGCGCGCGTGGCTTTCTGCAGCGGCGCAGAGGGTGCTGCGCATGGTGCAGGCGTCGCGGTGGCGGGCGGACACGGCGCTGTACACGGCGCTAATTGCGGCGTGCTGCAAGGCCGCCAAGCTCGACCTCGCATTCAAGGTGAGACAGTCAGTGCCCACACACCCGCCCACCCGCACACCCGCACGCCCACACGCCCGCACGCTTGCGCTCCCGCACCCCCGCACTCTCGCACGGGTACTGCCTGGTGCCCTACATGGCGGGCATTAAGCATACCTTACCCTAAGCTCTTGCTCAACAATACACGCCCCTCCCCCCGTACACTTCCCTTCCCACCCCCTATACTCCCGCCTTTTCCTCCTCTCCCCCCTCTCCCCTACCCTCTCTATTCGCTCTTCTCCTGCCTGCTCCGCTCCCTTCCGCCGCTCTTGTCTCGCGCGCGCACAGGTGTATCACGACATGGAGGCGGCGGGCGTGGAGCCGAACGTGCGCACCTTCGGAACGCTCGTCGACGGCTGCGCCAAGCAGGGCCACGTCGCCAAGGCCTTCGGCGCCTACGGCATCCTCATCTCCAAGGTACCGCGCCCACCCTCCCTCGCTGCCTCGCTGCCTGCCTCTCTCCCTTGCTCCCTCACTCCCCCATTGCTCACACCAGCCCGATTTCCCTTAGTGACTCTCGTCCCGTCGTTCTATCTTAAGCCTCTTCCCTCCCCGCTTTCCCTTCCCCCTCCCCACCCTCGAAGTGTCCCTCTCTCCCTCCTCCCCCTCCCTTCCACCCTCGCCTCCCGCTCTCCGTGTCCCCGCTTTCCCCTGCCATAACTCCTCTTTCCCGGTACCACCCGTTACCCCTGTTCCCCCGTCCCCTCCGCTCCCGCTGTCCGCTCCGTCCCGGCGGTTCCCCCCGTTCCGCCTGTGCCCCCGTGTCCCCCCAGGGTCTGAAGCCGGACCGCGCAATCTTCAACGCGCTGATCACGGCGTGCGGGCGCGCGGGCAGCTGG